ATGCCACGATATTCACTTACTTCATCTTAAAGAACCGCAGGGCACTTGGACCCCTTATACAACGACTGTGTCTTTCGTCCTGAGAAAAATTTAACAGTCTGTCAGAATGATCATCCTCTGTTTGAAAATTCGGCGTCCAACTGCCGAAAAGGTTCCAACTACCAAGGTAAGATTCACTCTATGAAAATAAGGAGAACGGTCAGATTCTCCTCTCTTTTAATTTAGCTCCATTTAACCCACCTCCTTTTTGATCATACTGATTTTCAGGCATTACATTTTTGAATCTTTCTGGTGTTTGATGCCGTTGCTTCATTAACTCAGATTAACTAAGGCCTTAACTTCTACCATGGAAGCAGTTCCTTCCTTCTCAGTTTGCTGCACACATTTAATGCTACTACTGTCAGAGGTAACGATGACGAGAGCGTTAAAGGACCCCACTCTCTCGGAGGCTATTCATACCGACGCAGTATCAATGCAAATTTTGCGTTAGTTTCTGTGCAGTGTTCACTGAGTTGTATATTTTTATGTAGCAAATGAAGCGGTGTATAAACAGTTCAATACAATGGTCACAACAGCACGACACCCGATGCCTGGGTGTTTCTAAATAGATTAAAAATGCTAGTCGCAGAAAAAAAATTTCACAGAGCTAAAATGGCCGAATATTGTAGTAGTCATGATTATGACAGTGATGACCGTATCTTCCTCCACCATATCGTCCGCCACCGTACCTTCCGCCACCAAATCTGCCTCTACCACCATAGTTTCGGTAGCCTCTCTGACGCTTCTGTCGGAACAGCACCGGTAAATCGTCATTCACTAAAAACAACCGCTACCACCGGCTCACGACGTAGCGGCTTATGATTCTGCTTACCTGAAGCGCCGTCTGACCAGCAAACGAAGACCAAAGCGATGATTAAGGAAAGCAGGAGGAGGTGCATGCTGTAGTTCATTGTAGAACGTTGAAGCGTGTGTGTCAAGTGCTGGTTTTAAATTTGAAAGAAATGGGTCACTTGATGTTGTCTGGATGTCGTTTGTTTTAAGATTTTATGGTTTTTGTAGAGCAACGCGTCTTTTCCTTGATCGTTTGCGTCTTCAAGCATAATTGTTGGTTTTACACCTGCGAAGCGTGGTCTCACCGCAGTTTTCAGAATCGGTGTGTGGGCTGAAATGGAGCAATAGGTTTGTCTGAAAAACGCCGATGCTTGCGCGTTTATGAGCGAGATCGATTACTCACAGAACGCTGATGTTGGCGTGGTTTCACGAAACACCGTGAAGTACGGCGAGGATCGAACAAATGTCAGTCGTTGTGAGTGACAGTGAGGAAATGACACATCCAAGCCCTCGATTTAACGAATGATACTCTAAGATCCAGCGTTTAAACCAGCTGCAAACGCCCCATCGAACGGCTGGAAAAGGAGATAAGTCCGAATATGAAAATGGGACGTTGGTGCAAATCATGCAGCAAAATTTAGCCCCTTTAAACTCGAAGCCTTGTTATAATGTTTCGTTTTCCTTGAGACTGTTGTCTACGTATTACCTGCATTTGTATGACGAATCGTGCTGTTCTTCTGCCATGGCCACATTTACAGACTGTTCAACGGAAACTTTGATGATCTCCATAGAAGTAAATTGTTTGTTACTTCGGGCAGGTTGTTCGATCACCATGGTAGAGACATTATCATAGCTTTTAGGGTAGAGGTTGATCATGAATCCGGCATGCAACGTGGAGGAATAAGAGGTAAATGCAGTGCAGATTTGCCTTCGTACTTACTGATGGCTTACAGAGTCGAAAGTAACTCAGAAATTGTTTAATGTCGGATACCGAGGCATTTGGTACTTCCATCATTAATAACTTCTTATATGGTAATGTTATTTGTATGTGATAACCCAGTTCGATATCCAGTTGGAGTTTTTCGTAGCGAATGTAAAAAAATGCTGCGTTCTTGACTCTTTGGAGCAGGACGGTAGTTTTTCGAATAATTTTTCCACCGGTTGGCTAGAAGGGTGACCCGACGGTAGTTAGCGCGATCAGCGAGATTCTCCCCACCACCCACCATGCTCATTTGTGTTAACGTGTTCTAGAGTTCAAGTTTAGAACAGCTTTGCTGTTCCTCATGGAGAAGCCACAACTGCCTTCACACGTTTGCTTCGTGCTTTATGTGGCGCGGTTTCGATAAATCACTGTTAATAATATGTCGGTATATAATGTTGCATGATATACAGGTTCTGGCACAAATCCCAATAGTGCATTGCTTTGTGGTGTCTCTTAGCCAACGCTGATGATTTAGTGCGTAAAGGCAATTGCTGGCGTTTAGCTCGTGCATAGGTGGCGACGATTTGACGTGCAGGTTGACTAGGCACTCGACTGGATACTGTCTACGGCTAAGGGTTTATCACAGGTGATCACTGATGGATAGAGTAGAGAACAACCCTTTATCTGTTTCGTACCAATCACTCGACTGAACCCATTCTATGCTCTCTTGCCATATATCTTACAGAGAACTATACAGTGTCACCAAATAATAAAAGTACAAGTGTAAAAATTACAAAAAAGAGCAACAAAATAAAAATTCAATGCAAATCATTTTCGTTTTGGCACCGTTCTCTCCAAAGACCACTGTTTGTTAGCACAGCGACCCTAATGCCATGTAAAAGCATTTTCTTCACAAGATTCACGATATTCATTGTTTCAAGATCTTTTGGATGACGTCAATGAACGACTATGAATTGATGTTACAAATTTTAAATCATTTTAATGGCATGTCGATAATAATGGGGCTGTCACTGATTTAAAATAATCGAATATAATCCAGCAAAAAAAAATCCGCCTTTGAATAAAAGTGCAGACAGGCGGTAGCTTTTGAAAAGTAAATGCCATTTGAAGATTAGCAAGGCATGGAAAATTTTTCTAGTGAATTATGAGAAAGTATCCTTCTTCGCCAGGTGGACGTGGTCTCAGACATAAGATGGACTAAACGTAATTCCTACCATTCAAATGACTTGTGCGTCCAGAAGCATGGCCGCAAAATTTGTACTATATATCGGCTTGCTACAGTACGGCAGCCAGACTACCATACCGTCCTGGCTGTTCACAGTAAATGACACTCCTTTTCCTTGGCGGGTCCAGTCGGTCACAAATTTGATCGTTTTGCACGAAAGAACTAACAGAAAGTAAATAGTTTATCAGAAACAGATGGTTGGCTTTGAGTCGATGCAAATTTATACTGCCGTTTGTTCGCTATGTGCAACCATTAGCTGTGATAATTGTCCATTTTTGCGTATGCTCAAACAGGAGTTGTTTTGTGACCCCAGTCAAGCAGCAGTTTTTCAATCTTCGAAGTTTGAAACGGCATCAAATGTTCCCTTTCAACCGGCAAGCAAGCCTCTGCCCTTCTACCGGCATGTAGTGGACAGCGGCGATGCGCCGCTAGGCCGTGAATTTCTGTTGTTGACTTGTTACCCGTTTGTCTATCGAGTACACTCTGGAATGAGGTTCAAAATCACTTAGACCAGTGTGTCAGTGAATCTCGTTTATCATTCGGGATGATAACGTGAATGTTGAGGATTATGTGCTGTTTTGTCTCATAGGGACTGCAACCTCACTTACTGGATAGACCTCTGTTCACCAATCACAACACAGTTTTGCCTTCAGAGCCTCAGACAGGAGGCAGTCGACATCTCAGGACCGAACAGGCTCCATAAAACAAAGATACTTTTGCAGTTTTCAATGCAAACAGCAGCAGACGGTCTCCATCAGCGAAGTGTCCACTTGTCAAGTGCCAAGTATCGCGCATGAGGAGTACAGCGTACATCACTGTTAATCCTCAAAATATTCAAGATCGAATAGATCCTAAACATAGGCCACTCCGTTACTCCAGCCTCCCTAGCCTCAGATGGTGATGATAATAGCAAGCGTTGGAACAGAGCTCCAGTACACCACATACCTCAGTTAGAGATGAAAGAACCGCTTTTTCCATACGCTCTCACAAAGTAAGTATTTGGAGTTGCATTCTAGCGAAAACTGCTTGAAACTGCTTCCAAACAGAAACTGGTATTCCTAAACTGGATTAGAATATCAAGAAATTGTTGACTTTTTGGTCAAAAATAGTCAGCCTATTTTCAAGGAAATGCATTGAATTCGACAAGTGTTTTTTCATCTGAGCTTCACAGGTAATTGCTATAAAAAGAGTTCAATCTCTGGAAATATTCGCATTCAACACTCTTAAATGAAACATGTCGAACAACGGAGACGAAACGTAACTCGGGAAACATGCATGCGCGTCAAGCAGCCTTCGGTCTCGCCATTTTGTTGACACTGGCGACATTCGTTTGCGAAGGTTAGTCTCAACGTTTGGCTCTCGTTGGACCTGCTCTGCTCGTTGACTTTGCCATTGCAGGCGTCCGTCCGTTACGTAGACGAGGAAGTGGTCTTCGAACTCGACGTTTCGGCTGTTACAGTGGTAACTGCGGCGGCTACGGTGGCGGCTACGGTGGCGACTACTACGGACACTTCGGCCATGGTTTTCACGACCACTATGACCATTATGATTACGATCACTTCCCCCATCCTGGAGATCACCTTCCCCATGCCCATGTGTGGCACTACGACGGCTACAACCCCCCGCACGAACACATAATATTCTAATTCATCACATTGCGATGTCTAGCTTTTCAGCCATGAAGCGTTTTCGACTTCATGCCTCATAAGTGAATTACTTTACAACTGTACAACTGGTTGCTGATGAAGGTGAATAAAGGTGAATTTGCTTGCGGCTGTCGTTAAATACAAAAAGTCGGCACTTCCATACTTACAACGTTAATTCCTTTTCGGCACGACAATAAAACCATGTATTCACTGTCAGTTAACGAATGAAGGAGATGTGAATGAAACGAGCGATGGAGCGTTTTAAGCCATTGGGGGGGGGGGTCTGCCTTGTGCTTCCACGGCTGGTGATAATTATGATGCCATATTCATTAATAATGCAGTGCAGTACTGATGTCTTTTTCGACCTCATTGCTTTGCATTTGCAGATGGATAGCCAATGTGCAATTTAACTTGCAGTTTTCTTATTGCGAACTCATCTATCCAGACAGAACTAAAGAAGAAGTGCCAGGCTATTGTCCAAGCGAGCAGTCGTTCGACTGCAAGTTCAGTACTCTAGAGATTGAGCCGTTGAGGATTGACCTGGATAAATCTATTATCATCTTTCATAATTCTTGGACGAGAATGTTTTGAACTGCATTTTTGCTAATTCTGCCAGCCAACCTTACGTTGCTCCATTTTCTGCTATGATTAGCTTTGGAATCACACGAAGGCTTAGTGACGCTAACATCACCTGTCCGTAGAAGCCATAGCAAGAGTCTAATGACGCTGCTGAAAATGGTGGTATGGCGGATTTTTGATTCGAACGCCTGGCAGCAATACGAAACTCGTCAATGGCTCTTTCACCTACTTGACAGTTGGTCAGCTGCGAATAAATTTGATTTTTATTTTTTTAAGCAATAATAGCTGCCTTCAAAACAAACCAGCGCAGTGACCGATTATATATAACATATATAACCATATAACAGCAGCAGATAAAATAGTTAATGTGAAGTGATGATAACGTCGATACCATCGATGTGTGGAGCATACACCATGTATTCTTTGACACCAGTTGTTTCGAGTATTCCGGAAGCTCCTCTGATGATTCCGATGTATGACAACGTCATGTCCTCCATATATCTAAGCCATGTAGCTGAGACGCCAAGGCAGAATTGCAAACGCTTCAGCCAGTTCCTGACGCTGCTGGTTTCGTTCGAAACGATAAACGGTCATCGAAACTGACTGACCATCCGCTGGCCAGATCATATTGTAGAAGGCAATCGAATTAAATGCCTGCATAAAGAGGTGCTTCAATAACCGCATTAAAAATCGAAAACAATTACAAGAATAGTTTATCACAGAGTACAACTTTTTTATTCATTTTGTAATTAATGGACATCTGTATATAATATCAATACTCAACACAATGGTTGGATACTAGAGGTCTAATTGCGTGCCCCTTTGTTATCACTCGAAGGATGACACCACGCTGATAAGATGTTGGTCTGACAGGTCGAATGTCGACGGAAGATTGCCGCATCCATGTCACCGGCAGAACCGAAAATACTGTTGTAATGAACATGGATTTCGAGACTCCTGTTTTGGTGACCTCAAAAAATGGGATAAGAAAAATGAAGCAGCATTACCCTGCTTTAAAACGATTTAATTTTCCAACGATTTTAAAATGGTTGATCTTGCATAACCAATGCAAACCTGATTGACCGACACGAAGCAGATGAAACAGTTTTAGGATCCAGTTAAAAAGTGGTAGCTAAATATTTAGGTCACTCATCAAGTGGTGCTGTTGCTTGACGTCACTCATGTCATTCCTCCTCTGTTCTTAAACATTCAAGTCGCGTACGTACGTCTTTAATATCATTTGTGCTTAATGAAAAAATTGGATGTTTTAAAATAATTTGTTATTGCTTCTGAACAATGACTCATAAGCATGTTCGAAGACTAAATGGCTCAGATGGATGCTACGCAGATTTCGTTTTTGTCACTCTTCCAATGGTCTCCAAATTTAGCTTCTCACTGTCTAAGGATCCATCTGCTTTATTGATAAGCAGGAATTAAAGATCTAGATGTCATGGCTTCGAAGGCTACAGAGGATATAGTGGCTACAGTAGCTACGACGGTTGCGGAAGCTATGTTTATTGTCACGGCCAATGCGGCGGCGAGCATGCTTATTTTGCAATTATTTCAACAAACCAAATTAGCACGTTGTGCGATAAAGTTCTTGTGGTGACGTTTGTGCTTTTCTTTGAATAAAGAATAAAATCTTAATGCAGTTTCTAAATCGATTGTTTTCATGTCAGTTATTGAAATGCTGTTCTTGAAAATAGCCAAAAGTCAATACCCTCTGGAGGGGGTAAATACAGCAACAGAATAGCACTCGAAAGCGGAGTTCCTTTGGGCGTATTTTGCACGCTGGTTCTAAAAACGGCCACCTACCAAATCCATGGCTATTGAGGGTCTGACCGCACCCATGTGAGTTAAAAATGATTTAGCCTAAGGGAAGCATACACTATTTACAAATCGGGACAAATTAAAATTGCAGCGGCCATCCTGCATACTTTTCTATGAAAGTAGCATGTTGAACGTCACGTTTTTCTGTTAGAACTTCGGCATATTTCTTTCGTTCATGAACGACGCCTACTCACACTACAAAATAGTCGTTGATTTTAAAATTGCCTTCTATTGACAATTGCTTACTTAAATTAAACATTAAACTCGAACATAGCCCACAGATAGGCCTGCCTTCACGTTTCACTGTGATCGCTGTGCTCATGGTGATGATACTGTCCCCTGTACCGGCGAAGACGACCGATGACGCTGCTCTCCGTCAGAACGTTCGAGTCATATGATGTTTAGGCGTGCTTAGCGGTGTCAAATGTTTTTTCAAGCTACGGCGATAACTATGGCGGCCTATTTTCTGGCCGTTATGGTGGATACGGTAGTCGTTGCTAATGATTACGGTGGATACGCCGTTATTGTGGCTACGATGACCACTACGCCCCCCTCCACCTTGACGATCATCTGCCGCAGGCTGATATGCAACATACGACGGCATATGCTTCAGTCTATCCCATGTTGTGTTGTAAAGTAGTAAATTTTAACATGTTGTACCCTGTAATTGCTTCCGAAGCTGCTCGAGTAAAGAGTCATCTCTTTAAGTGGTGTTTCGAAGCCGATTGTGTTTCTGCAATCTGTCCAAAAGTTCTTCATGAAACCAACCACACTAATCGATAATTTGCGATTTAAAGCTCGTGGCAAAAACTTTTACGACTTAAAAAACAACGAACAGGTTCGCAGATCAAGCGAATTTTCTTCGCACGTATTTCGGGTGCATGCACCGAAAGTGGTCAGTCATCGAATCCATGACCACGACGCAGACTGCATCTACGGTGAGTTAAAAAGACTTAGCCCTTAAGGAAGTTTACACCATTTACACACAGGAATAAATTAGTTTCCGGCCACCATCCAGCCTATTTATCCATGAATGCAGCGCGACGAACGAACACGATGCCACTCATCCTTCTATCACAATTTGCATGATTTACTCTCGTTCGGCGCGAACCGCATCCGCGTATTAAAACTTTTAATATCTTTATAAAAGACGTAGCCAAAATTTGTCATTTATTAAGAAGGCCATACGGATGTTTACATTCATATGTGAGATCTGCCTCGCTCGCGACGCTTTCTTTTGTTCCTGCTTCAAAGGTTTCGAAAAACCTTATCCGGCGAAATCACACCCGGTACATTTTTTTGCGACAGTCTGTATGTATGAAAGGAAGGCTGATTGGCAGACATGTTCGAGGAGTCCAAGTCCACACACAGACCGCGGAAGTGACTCTGCGTTGGGCGATTGTCCATCTCATCGTTTTAGTGACGGTCTCTCAGTGCTAATGCAAAGGTGAGCGGTGATGATGCTCAATGTTAGAACATGTCATGTGGTTTCCTCACATTTGGGGAGGTCAGAGAGAGTTGAACGTTGCGGCGGGCTCAGCTCGACTCTGCTAGGTTTTGATCGTTCCACTGGCCACGAATCTTGCTATTTCGCTGGTTGTTTCGACTGTTGCAAATGCGTCATTATTCATTATTACGATCACCAGATGAGCAAGTTTTACATTAATGCTCCAAGCTACCTGCACACCAAATTTTGTACCTTGGTATTTTAAGCAGACAAACTCTTCTGTCTATAGTTTAAGGTAAAGCGACAAGACGTGGTTGAAAAAAGAATATACCACAAATCATCCTACATGCCTGAAGTTTCATTTTCAACCAGGACAAGTTTAAGGACTTTGATTAATAAGATCTTCGAGCGATATGGAAAACCACTGATTTACTGTATGTACAAGTCTGCTTGTGAATGCTGACTGATATGAGTCAATCATACGAACTAGATTTTGGAGAAATTTGCGCAAGATTGGATTATCTAGCATGCATTCTCATTTTTGGCACTTCATACGAAGCATATTCATCTTCCATGGCCGCTTCTCCTTTCCATTCGCGGAGACTTCCAACGTTGTGCTTCCAACGTTCCCCATTCAGTGCCAGAGTTTCAGCTTCGGGAGAAGACAACCAGTCTGGAGAACATTCGTTCCATATATTTGCACAGAGTTAATCTTGGCCGTCCCCTGGGCCTTCTGCCGGTCGGATTCGCAAGAAACAGTTGCTTGATTCATATGAAGCACTATCCGTAAATCTGAATATCAATAAACAACTACGATCAAAGCATATTCGCACATAAATCTCTTTCAGTGTAGGCATTCACAAAGAAGGCGGTCGCTTTTCGCCTGTGCAGCATTCCGTTCAGGATCTACTCAAGTCTTCAGTAGCTACCGAGTCACAAGTTCACAAGTCTATGCAACGCATTGGGATTCAGCCGTGTGTTTCTCCGCTCACCTTTAAGTATTATGCCACTACGTAGCGGATGACTTACCCAAATAGCTGCAATGCACTTGACTTAGCAAGACACGTATAACGCCGAAAAGTCCCAAACCAGAGCATGGGCGAAGAGACAGCGTATGACTGAGCGAACCGACTGGTTAGGTTAA